TAAACGGCATATACAGTAGAACTTTCTACCGGGTTAACCTACTTTATGAGGATTTATGTGACATATATGCAAAGGAATTGACAGTTGAAGCGTAGTATTAGGGTCTGTAGATATAAGGGTATTAGAATTTTAGATGTAATACAAGGATCGTATAAAAGAGCAAAAGGACAATAGGAATATTGATTTATTATATTGTAAGCGACATTTTCGTTGACTATTTGAAGGTCGAACTAATTCGCCTTTGAGTATTAAGTTTACGGTTATAGGAAATAAGAACAGAAAAGATGCACAAGGACTCGAAATAGAAGGGAGATATATGGTTTATAAAAATATTCCTTATTCGATTTGACTGAAGAAATTTCATTTCAAAAAATAACTGGGAAAATTGGAAACAAATTGCCTGTTCCAGAACCTGCAAGAATGTACAATTTTTTACTACGATAACATTTTTCCCTTTATGATATCGGAAAAAATAGTAGATTCTTGCAGTACGGGAACAAACCAAAAGTTATAGAGCTTTTGTCGAATTTGTTCTTGAGGGTACTCAATATAATCGCCCATAAGAAATATGTCACTCACACAAATATAGAACCTAGGGATAAGTAAATCGACTTTCGACTAATCGACTCTTTTGTATTTAAAAGTCGAAGTCGACTTTCCACTTTTCTTCATAATTATTATCCAAATTATCCAAAAATTACACGTTGCAAAATTTTATTTTCGCTATTGACAACAATTCCTGTAGATAATGGAATTTTCTGGCGATTTTTCATTAGTTGTTAAAAGTCGAAAATCGATATTTTAGTCAAAGGCAAAAATCGATAAGTCTAAAAATCGACTTTTTGGTCAGTGACAAAAATCGAAAAGTTTAAAAATCGAAATTTAGGCTCAACTACGTATCCCTAATAGAACGAAATAATAATCAGCTTTATTAAAATACCATTGGAATGCATCATGGCCTATAAATAAGGTCACCCAGGGAGACCAGCTGATAATCGATACCTCTCAAGTTTGCTGTCAAAATGCATTATTGTGAATTGACTTCCATTATGAAAACGTAAACAAAGTCGAAATTTTTGACATTCGACTTGAGAAAAAACAGCTGTTTTCCGATTTCGATTGCTATCTTGGTGACCTTATTAATAGATCTTGGAATGCATGATACGCTGTAAAAACCTGCCGGGTTTATGGACATAAAAGAGGCAGTAAAAACAAATCAATCGTTTATTTTAATACTTGTTTTTTTTTTTCAATTACACATTAGTTCTTTTATTACTTATTAGCCATGTTAAGAATGCAATTAAAAATGTAGTTGTAAAAATTATTGATAGGACAGGAATAAAAATATTGCAATAATACAAAGTATATGAAATAATACAAAGTATTGAAAAATACTGTATATGAAATAATACAAAGTATTGTTACTGGACTTTATGTTTAAGCTATAAACTGTTCTGAAGAACCAGTTATGAAAGAAATAATTAATTCAGAACTTTTATATGGGGGCTGAGTCGTGGTAAATTGTTGCCAGCAGAAAACGAAATACTAAACTATATAAACTCAGTCTGGATTTGAATTGTTCTGTGAATAAGTTATGTTTACCCGCCAAGAAGCCGTAATGTCAAATTACAACCACTCCGTATCGAAAATGCGCTTAGAACCTTAAAAAAACATATAAAAGGCCTGAAATATTACATGGAGGATATACAAAAAATCGACCAATTTTGATCATTTTTGGTTGGAGAAACTTTTGGGTACCGTGGCGCTATACCGAAACAAGCACCAATATTAATTTTTGGTTGGACGATCTGACATCCATTGAAACAACCAAAACATCACTATAAATTCGGTGTTGTCCACAGATATACCCCCAACCTAGAAAATATCGCTCATTTGCCGTAATATGAAATTACAACCATTTCGTTTGGAAAATAAACCTAGAACCTTACAAAATATTTATAAAGGGCCAGAAACATTATACGGAGCATATACCCATTTTTGGTAGTAAAAAACTTTTGAGTATTGTGATACCGAAACGAGCACCAGTATATATACATTTTTGGTAGGACGATCCTAACACCTAATGAAACAACCGAAACTTCATTATAAATTCAGTGTTGCCTACAGATATACCCCCAGCCGAGGATATATTGCTTATTTGCTGCAAGACCGGCATAAATCAAGAATCCTGATTTTTGAGTTAATGATTGCAGTATCACACTTCATGAATTTCCTCAGTTCCTTATATGGTGTCAGCTGATTAAAACCTTAAAATCCATTTTCTGAAAAATCTATTTTTTTTATTTATGTCCGTCTTGCATCAAATGGCATACGTCTATGATCTGCTCTAGTGCCAATATGATGATACCCACGTTGCTTGGAGGATTTCAGACATGTTTTCAAGAGATATTTTCCATGGGTGAAAAATTTCCCTATGAAAAATTCTAAATATCGAGTTCTTTATAGAAGAGAAACGTATTTTCATAAAAATGAAGAATTAACAAGAAAAACGTGATCGTGACCAAATCGATATGTACAGGAGTCAGAGTGAAGTCCGGAAATTTTACCAACGAGTAAAACACAAAACCGATGGCTGTGGTGCGGGCACATTCTCCTGCAGAGATGAAGATGAAAACCTGGTGACAGATACAGATAGCGTGTTGAGGATCTGGAAGGAGCATTTTGCAAAGCTTCTGGTATCAAATAGTGGCGGTGAAGAAGATACCCAGAACCAATAAGAGATGATGGTATAGAGTGTATACCACCTAGCCAAGATGAGGTCAGAGTAGCAATCAATCGGCTGAAGAACAATAAAGGAGCAGATACCGATGGGTTACCAGACGAACTATTCAAGACCGGTTTAGCCAGAGGAATGCATGTCCAATAATTGGAACCTCATCCTGCGCACAAAAAAGGAGACAAGACGATATTTGCCTACTATAGATGAATATGTATCCTTCCCATCGCATATGAAGTGCTATCCAGCGTACTGGGTAAACGACTGAAGCCAATGGTCAATGACATTTTTGGACCGGCTTCAGGCCTGGCAAATCCACAATTGACCACATTTTCACTCTGCGCCAAATCCTGGAAAATACCTACGAAAAACACATCGACACATTCCATCTATTTTTCGACTATAAAGCCGCATTCGGTAGCCCGATCCGTTCAGAAGTGTTTAAAGCCATGCATTCTAGCAAAATTAATAAGACTATGCAGGATAACTTTAACTGGCACAAGTCAGCAGTTAAAATCGGAAAGGACCTAGAACTTGAAAACTACAGCTTCGAGGTAGTGAACGATTTGATATACCTCGGCACTGCCATAAAAAAATACTAACTAGACAAGGTGACAGTTTGTCGTGCGATCTTTTTAACATCCTGCTGGAAAAGGTCACACGAGACGCAACTGTGAACTCGCCTACGTCGAGGACATCGACATGAGGGGTCGAACATTGCGAGCGGTAACAGCCACCTTTGAAAGAATTGAGAAGAAGTCTGTGAAAGTGGGAGTGATCTTAAATGGCGAGAAGTCCAAGCTGATGGCATCGACGAGCAAGACGTCCTGCAGACTCGTACCAACTGTGGAACTTGATAACGACAGCTTCGAGGTAGTCAAAGATTTTATATACACCGGTACTGCCATAAATAAGGCGAATGACATCAGTTTTGAAATTCGGAGGAGAATAGTGATGGCCAACAGATGCTACTAAGACCAAGCTCACACTCACAAGACTCTGATATTAGACGTGCTGTTGTATGGAACGGAATCATGGGTACTTGTCCAAGCAGCTCTTGGATTGTTTGAGAAAAAACTACAGCTTCGAGGTAATCAAAGATTTTATATGCCATAAATAAAGCGAATGACATCAGTTTTGAAATTCGGAGAAGGATAGTGATGGCCAACAGATGCTACTATGATCTGAGCAAACAACTCAAAAGCAAGGCCACCTCCCGCCAGACCAAACTCACACTCTACAAGACGCTGATACTATCCGTGCTGTTATATGGATCTGAATCATGGGTACTTGTCCAAGCAGATCAAGCAGCTCTTGGAGTGTTTGAGACGGTGAATATAGTCGTCAAATATACCATGAGTTGTATCATCTATTCTCGTCCATCGACATAGTCAGACGTATCTAGCTGCAGCGACTACATTGGCTAGGTCATGTTGTGAGAATGGATGAGGATTCCCTTTCTCAAAAGGCATATAAAAGAGAACCAGCTGATGGTTGACGCAGAAGGGGAAGGCCACGAATCCGATGGAAAGATCAAGTAGAGGACAACATCTCGTAACATGGTCTTTCAAAATGAATGAGCTGCGCACAAGACCGACGCGCTTGGAATCTTTTCTTTAAGCTCGGCTTATGGAACAACCGTTCTGTCACAAACCAGCTAAGTAATTAACCTGAATAGTGCTGTAATTATTTTTTCGAATTTTATCAGGGTAATCGACAGGATCAATTTTTGGACTGTGACCATATGTTCACACTCGCACTGCTCGGATACAGGTTTTTTAGACGATTTTTTGATCTCTTATGAATGTGATCATATGGTCACGCTAGCACAGCTCGGGTTAAGTAAGTATACATAAATTCTGAAGATTGTGTCAATTGATTTACGGCTTCTGGTACCTCCTTCACAGTAGAACACATTTTAAACGGAAACGAATCATGTAAATTTGTAATATTTTTCAAAAGTCCTGATTTAGATTAGGCACAAAAATTTCTAAAAAAAAAATTATTTAAAAAAAAATTTTATTAACTTGTAAAAAAATATCATAGTTCACGACACACCATCTCTGACGCAGGATTCAGGATTCAAAAACAAACATCTGTTTAATTTCACATGTTTAGTAATTTAAAATAAAAAAACACGCACACACATTTTCAAACACAGCAAAATCGTACACACGAAAATATATTGAAAATTTGCGAATTTGATTCACAATTTTTTTTCACTTCGTGTTGTTTTTTCAAAACTATCAATTTCCCCAATTACCTGTTGCCTGTTCTTTCAGCCATGTTTCGATTTTATATCACGTACGCGATTTATAGGAACAAAATTTAAATTCTATTTTTTTTCGAACCGTTAACTACCGTTTCTCAATACGAACTGAATGAAAATTAACTGAATTCGAAATTTTTCTATGTTTTTTTTTCAGTTCATTTTCAGTTCTTCCAAATGGCAATAAAAAAACAACAACAACAGCAGCAACATGTGTTTGTGGTTCTTGCCAATGTGAGGGTGAGAGGGGGCGGTAGCGAGGTAGTGAGGCGCGGCTATTAGGGATAGAGATAGTTAGGTGCGTCGTAATACTCAGCTGTGGTGGTTTGGGCGATCAAAAGCTTTTTTTTGTATTTCAATTCTAATACAAACAAAAATGATTTTCCTTTTCTTTTGTTTTTGTTGCGTTTTTGTATTTGCATTCAGTTTTTGTTTTGTTTTTACTTTCATTTACTAATGATCCCCAAACCCAGTTCTGTGTGTCATTGCCTAACTGATAACGTTGGCGCGATTTGCTGCTCACGATTTGTTCGTCTCGTAGTCGTCTATCACTCGTGAAATATTTTACGCTCTCACACACATTTTTTTTGTTGGGCGACTAGCTGCCGGTCAGTGAAACAACAATAACAACAATCAAATGTGATTCGGAAAATTATGTTGTTGCCGATCAATAGCTTTTCTTATCTCGCCAGAGATCTTTGGACTAATTATTCTCTCATTTGGTTTTAGTTGTTGTTTTTGTAATTAAAAAATAAACATTGAGAGCCAGTTTTCATGTTTTTTTAATAACAACAATAATTAGAATGTGTGTTTTTGTTGAGATTCGATATAGGAATATTAGACCGGTACATAGTTTTAGAATCTGTAACAAGCTGTGGATCGGTCAGACATGTCGGCATGTATGTATATGTGTCAGATGTTTTCCTTCATTGCCGATTTTGGCTATGACTTGTTTTTGTTTAGGGAAGCTTCATTGGATATGGGTCGCCAATTAGAGGTTAACCACCACAATTAAATAGGTAATTATGTTCGGATGGGGGTAAACTTTTATATTATTACTTACTTAACTGGATTTGGATTCTAAGCGCATCGGTCATCTCCTCCAATTTGAAAGACCATGTTCCGAGATGTTGTCTTCCACTTGATCTTTCCATCGGATTTCTGGCCTTCCCCTTCTGCGTGAACCATTACTTGGCTCGCTTTTATATGCCTTTTGAATGGGGGAATCCTCCAAACATGACCTGCCAAGCTCGAGATGTCCGAGAAATGATGGTATTACTCATAGTTCATTCGACGACGATATTCACCGCCCCGTAGCTCTTCCGGACAATGTTTCTTTCAATCACACCAAGAGCTGCCTCATCTGCTTGCTTGCGCAAGTTCCCATGCTTCAGATCCATTTTTCTTTTATATTCCCTCAGACAATGGTGAGGCTTTCAAAGTAATGCAAATATGGTACGAACTTTTTTATGGAACATGTTTTCTTTGCAAAATACCAAATAACAGCAACTTCGGCTGAAAAAAAGCCCCCCTAGGACTGTCAAAATGCCAAAAAATGGGTCAGAACCTTTATATGGGAGCTATGTCGAACCATTAAACTATATTGGAAATATTCTTCTAACACATGTTTTATCCTCTTGAATCCCAAAATGCCTACTTATAACCATATCGCGTAGAAAATTAGGCCTAGAAATATCAAAATACTGAACATTGGGTAGGTTCCCTTATGGGGACACGGGAATGCCAAATTACAGTCACATTGTAGGAAAATGCAAATGAAAACCCAGTGAGCGGAGCAGTGTAGTCGGACGGGGCCGACCATACGATACCCTACACAACTACCACGGAACTCTAACTTTCTTCGGATGTTTATTCCGAGTCTGCCCAGATTCTCTTCACCGTGATTGTGTTGTGATATTCGGATTATTATTGGCATCGACTCGAAAAAACACAAAAAAATTAGGTATTCGGTCCACTTCATCCCATAATTATAATCTGATCATCACCGAAAGTTATAGAAATATTGTCCTTGACCATAACTGGATCCTCATGGAAATTTTCAAAGCGATCAGCGCTATATTTCCGCCCTCTAGTTTGCTAATGGGTTACTGAATAATATCTGAGTAGGTAAGCACCTGTAAATACTTAAGTGAACTCCCACATCCGAGTACATACGACAATATAATTGGTATCAATTTGAAGGTCAACCAATCCTCTTGTATATACTATTAACTTCTCGGGACTATGTCCTTCAGGAGTAAATATATACGCCACAGAATGCAAATTTTGTAATTTTTCACACAAAAGTCAGGGTCTATTTGACCCGCTAAATATTGACCGATCTTTATCAAACCAGAGATGCTTATTCTTTGGCCTGATCCCCTTCTCCATGTAAAATTTCACGATGTTCGGACCATAATTGCGGCCTCTAGAGAAACCAGAAAAATTTACAAAAATTATGTATTTGGTCCATTTCATCCCCTAAATATTAACCGATCTCTACCAAAAACAATAGGGGTCTTCATTGGGCAGAACCCATCCTACGTGCACACATGTCTAGATCGACTCAGCTAGTTGAGATATGACGATCGGTATACTTAAAGGTGGGTCTAGGACCAATATTTCGATGCGTTACAGGACCAATATTTCGACGCGTTCATACGAATAGGTCATGTTGTGAGAATGGATGAGGAGGCCCCAGCTCATAAAGCATATAAAAGCGAGCCTACTGATGATGGCTCACGCAGAAGGGGAAGGCCACGAATTAGATGGAAATGTCAAGTGGAAGAGAACATTTCGAAACATGGTCGTTCAAATTGGAAGAGTATCAATCGGACAAACATTAGATGTTCGATGCATCATTTTCCTAAAATCGGACGAATATATATATGGGAGGTATAACTAAATCTGAAGCGATTTTTACGAAACTTAACACACATCATTCTAGACTCAAGTCAGTACACTATGCCCAATTTCGTGCAAATCGTAGAATATATAGGGACTTTCGTGCACCATTTACCTTAAATCGAACGATAATATATATGGGAGGTATAACTATGCCAAATTTCGTGCAAATCGTAGAAAATATATATGGGAGATATATGTAAATCTGAACCGATTTTCACTGAACTTAGCACACATTATTATAGACTCAATTAAGTACGCTATGCCGAATTTTGTGCAAATCGAAAGATATATAGGGACTTTGGTGCACGATTTACATTAAATCGGACGAAAATATATATGAGAGGTATATCTAAATCTCAACCGATTTTCACAATATGATGTGTGCTAACATCATTCTAGACTCAATTCAGTATGCTATGCCAAATTTCGTGCAATTCGAAAGATATGTAGGGACTCTGGAGCCCCATTTACCTTGAATCGGACGAAAATATATATGAGAGCTATATCTAAATCTGAAGCGATTTTCACGAAACTTAGCACACATCATTCTAGACTCAATTCAGTACGCTATGCCAAATTTCGTGCAAATCGTAGAATATATAGGGACTTTCGTGCACCATTTACGTTAAATAACTAAATCTGAACCGATTTTCACGAAATTTAACACACGTCAGTCAAGACTCATTTCAGTACGCTATGCCAAATTTCGTGCAAATCGAAAGATATGCAGGGACTTTGATGCTCAATTTACATAAAATCGGACGAAAATATATATGGGAGCTATAACTAAATCTAAACCGATTTTCACGAAACTTAGCACACATCATTATAGACTCATTTCAGTACGCTATGCCAAATTTCGTGCCAAAGTGGGTCTGGCAGTAAATGGCGACAAGACCAGGCTGATGGTATCAACGCGCAAGACGTAGGTAGTCAAAGATTTTATATAACTCGGTGCCGCCATAAAAACGTATGACGAATGACATCAGTTTTGAAATTCGGAGGAGAATAGTGTTGGTCAACTGATGATCTAAGCAAGAAGTATAGAAACAATGCCACGTCTCGCCAGACCAAACTCTACAAGACGCTGATACTACTCGTGCTGTTATATAGATCTGAAGCATGGATACTAGCGCAAGTGAATGAGGCAGCTCTTGGAGTGTTTGAGAGAAAAACATTCTCCGAAAGATCTATGGGCCGATTTGCGTTGACGGTGCATATCGCCGTCGAATGAACCATGATCTGTGCCATCTATTCTCGGACATCGACATAGTCAGAAGGCCACGAATTCGATGGAGAGATCAAGTGGAGGACAACATTTCCGATCATGGTCTCTTAAATTGGCAAAACGGCGCAAAAGACCGACGCGCCTGAAAATTTTTTTATGCTCGGCTTATGGAACAGATGTTCCTTCACAAGCCGTATTTTGGGATTATAAAGGTTTTAGCAACATATGATCACTAATGTGGATGTAATTTCGACACACGTTCAGGTTTTTGGAAAGCTCTCATATGCACGTTCCATCCGTCCATCTGTTGATATTAAATTGTAGACAAAGTTCAGGTCGTATTTATCATCCGATTTGGATGAAATTTGGTGCAGCTCATTTATGTGGTCCAAGGACAAACCCTATTTAAATTGGGAAAAATAGGTTCAGATTTAGATAAAGCTACCATATATGTTTTCGACCGATTTTATGTAAATGGTGCACGAAAGTCCCTATATATTCTACGATTTGCAGGAAATTTGGCATAGCGTACTGAATTGAGTCTAGAATAATGTGTGGTAAGTTTCGTGAAAATCGGTTCAGATTTAGTTATACCTCCCATATATATTTTCGTCAGATTTAATGTAAATGGTGCACCTAAGTCCCTAAATATTTTTCGATTTGCACGAAATTTGACATAGCGTATTGAAATAAGCCTTGAATGATGTGTGCTAATTATCGCGAAAATCAGTTAAGATTTAGATACTGCTCTCATATATATTTTCGTCCGATTTAAGGTAAATGGTGCATCAAAGTCCCTAAATATCTTTCGATATGCACGAAATTTGGCATAACGTACTGAATTGAGTCTATAGTAATGTGTCCTTAGTTTCGATTAAATCGGTTCAGAT